AGACTGGAGACAAGAGAAAAGACAGATGGATAGTCTGAAAAATCAGGCTTCTCTTCAGAAGACATATGCCCTGAATCTCAGGGGGTTAAAAGGCACACAAGATTTTTATATTTGCTGTAAAGGCACAATTTTACAAAGCTAAGTAACTAATGCAAACTAAGTTGTTTCTCTTCTATAACTTGAAATTTCATTTCTGAGCCTTCACCATGAATAGTGATATTAGACAACCCCTAATAAGCAAAAGCGAAAAGGATTGCTATAAATCCAATACTTTCAAATTAAAACATACTACTAATTCAAATATGTTCCAAATCAGGGATCAGTGACCTTTTTCCTGGAAATAAACACTAAAGTTAATGAGATAATTAGAAGTAATACCTCCTTCTCTCCGTTTGTTTCTAACAAATACACAAACTATGAACAAGTCTGTATTCCTTCTACATTTTATTCTTTTATTTTTAATTTTTTTTGTTTTGAGATGGAGTTTCGCTCTTGTTACCCAGGCTGGAGTGCAATGGCGCGATCTCGGCTCACCGCAACCTCCGCCTCCTGGGTTCAGGCAATTCTCCTGCCTCAGCCTCCCGAGAAGCTGGGATTACAGGCACGCGCTACCATGCCCAGCTAATTTTTTGAATTTTTAGTAGAGACGGGGTTTCACCATGTTGACCAGGATGGTCTTGATCTGTTGACCTCATGATCCACCCGCCTTGGCCTCCCAAAGTGCTGGGATTATAGGCTTGAGCCACCGCGCCCGGCCTACATTTTAAACTCAGTTTCAAAGTTTTAAAATGTGGATTTGGTTATTTTCCTTCTAGTAAATTTAAAGTTTCAATGACCCACTTTCATTTCCTTCCGATTATCTCCCTTCTTTTTTTTTTTTTTTTATCTTCTCTTTTATATATATATATATTTTTTATTGCATTTTAGGTTTTGGGGTACATGTGCAGAACATGCAAGATAGTTGCATAGGTACCTACATGGCAGTGTGTTCTGCTGCCTTCCTCCCCTTCACCCACATTCGGCATTTCTCCCCAGGCTATCCCCTCCCCAGCTCCCACCCCCCGCTGTCCCTCCCCTATTCCCCCCAATAGACCCCAGTGTGTAGTACTCCCTTCCCTGTGTCCATGTGTTCTCACTTTTCATCACCCGCCTATGAGTGAGAATATGCGGTATTTCATTTTCTGTTCTTGTGTCAGTTTGCTGAGAATGATGCTCTCCAGATTCATCCATGTCCCTACAAACGACACGAACTCACCATTTTTGATTGCTGCATAATATTCCATGGTGTATATGTGCCACATTTTCCCAGTCCAGTCTATCATCGATGGGCATTTGGGTTGGTTCCAGGTCTTTGCTATTGTAAACAGTGCTGCAATGAACATTCGTGTGCATGTGTCCTTATAGTAGAACGATTTATAGTCCTTTGGATATATACCCAGTAATGGGATTGCTGGGTCAAATGGAATTTCTATTTCTAAGGCCTTGAGGAATCGCCACACTGTCTTCCACAATGGTTGGACTAATTCACTCCCACCAACAGTGTAAAAGTGTTCCTATTTCTCCACATCCTCTCCAGAATCTGTTGTCTCCAGATTTTTTAATGATCGCCATTCTAACTGGCATGAGATGGTATCCCAATGTGGTTTTGATTTGCATCTCTCTAATGACCAGTGATGATGAGCATTTTTTCATATGTTTGTTGGCCTCATGTATGTCTTCTTTTGTAAAGTGTCTGTTCATATCCTTTGCCCATTTTTGAATGGGCTTGTTTTTTTCCTGTAAATCTGTTTTAGTTCTTTGTAAATTCTGGATATCAGCCCTTTGTCAGATGGGTAGAGTGCAAAAATTTTTTCCCATTCTGTTGGTTGCTGATTCACTCTAGTGATTGTTTCTTTTGCCGTGCAGAAGCTGTGGAGTTTGATTAGGTCCCATTTGTCTGTTTTGGCTTTTGTTGCCAATACTTTTGGTGTTTTGGTCATGAAGTCCTTATCTCCCTTCTTTAAAGACTTCTTCCTATTGGCCAGATGTGGTGATTCACATCTGTAATCCCAGCAGTTTGGGAGCCAGAGGTGGGTGGATCACTTGAGCCTAGATGTTCAAGACCAGCCTGGGCAACATGATGAAACCTTGGCTCTATGAAAAATACAAAAAATCAGCTAGGCATGGTGGCATGCTCCTGTAGTCCCAGCCACTAGGAAGGCTGAGATGGGAGGATCACTTAAGTTCAGGAGATGAGGATGCAGTGAGCACCACTGCACTCTGGCCTGGGCAACAGAGTGAGACCCTGTCTCAAACAAACAAACAAATAATAATAAAAAAAAGCCCCACTTCTTCCTGTCTTCTTTAAGTGACAGTTAATTTTATTTGTATTAATCTAGAACTCACTAAAGCAGCTGTGAATTTATGCCACAGAATTAAATAACAAAAATACCTAAGACTACTTGTTAAAAAAAATCTTTACAGCCCCAAATATGCAGATAAGCAGAAAGGTAAATAAAAACTAAAATAATGACCATTACAGATGTGTGCCAACAAGAGAATGGCTCTAACTCCTGGGACATTTCTCTAAAATGAGTTCCACGGTAAAACTCCATGACTGCCCTTCTGTGTCTTAAGCATTCAATGGAGTAGAAATGCTAAGTAAAAAAAGAAAAATGGTCGGGCACGGTGGCTTACCCCTGTAACCCCTGCACTTTGGGAGGCCAAGGCGGGTGGATCACCAGAGGTCAGGAGTTTGAGACCAGCCTGGTCAACTTGGTGAAACCCTATCTCTACTAAAAATACAAAATATTAGCTGGGAGTGGTGGTGCATGCCTGTTCCAGCTACTTGGGAGGCTGAGACAAGAGAATTGCTTGAAACTAGGAGGCGGAGGTTGCAGTGAGCTGAGATTGTGGCACTGCACTCCAGCCTAGGCAACAAGAGTGAAACTCTGTCTCAAATAACAAAATGAAAAAAAAAAAAAAAAAACAGAAAGAGAAAAAGGTATAGCTAAAATGAAATTCAAAGCTTGCAAAAGGACACATGATAATGGATTTACTGGGTTTTACACATGTATAGGAGAAAAATCAAATGTAAATACCACCAACTTGGAGCACTAGGGCTTATTTTCAACGTGGGCATATCTGATTGGATAGCTTTTTGTAAACTTGATTTAAGGAAACATTGCCTCGTCTATTCCCTCTTATGGACTCAAAACTGTGAGTTAAAAATGTAGCTTCCCTATTCTGTATATTTCTTAAATTTCTGAATTCAGTGCTTAGTCACTGCTCAAAGTCTTCTGTTCACACCAAGCTATCAGAGGAAAATCTATACTTTCTATTACAATGTATTTAGAACCCCCTACGTCCACTCAGATACACACAGCTGTAATTTATACAGCATCTTCCTTCTCCTCTTTACCAGGAAACCATCCGCTTAAGAGGGGATAAATGATTGAATTATAGCTATATATCCAGGGCTTAAGAAATATGTAAGGCAAATGCTTAAGTTCTCTAAGAATTAATCATATGAAATATTTTTCTCTATAATGTTGCTATGTGCAATAATAAACTCTTACATAAGAGTTTTCTTAAAGAAATGGTTCTATTATCTATCAATTATGGAAAAGTAAACAGTTCACTCTGAGAAACCTGACAGCTTGCTGTGGTTTGTCCCTTGAACACAGAGATGTGCACAGTGCTGGGGCCAGGAGTCACTCCTGTGCACTTCCCCTGCCTCCAGTCCTGCAATCTCCATCTTGGAGGCTAATTAAACTGCCTTCATTCTAGAATAGGACAGAAAAAAAGGAAAAAAAAGAAGGAGTTGTAAATGTTTCTTGGAGTGTCAAGCATAAAACAATGCTAGTAGTGTCTACCATTATAGTCAGAATGTACCCTGGCTTATGAATCATACATGGGAGAACAAGACACAGATATCCCACAGCTGCAACACCTCTGATAATCAAACATGCTTGCACACGCCCACATTCCTGCACTCTACCGCATGCAGCCAGGAAGACACCATCACGGCCTGAGGCTGATGGAGAATTCATTTTTTCCTCTGAACACTAATTTTAAGATTCATGTTTGTATCCACCCTTTCCCTCCCACCTCTACCTTATTCTTTACTACTCCTTGAAGAACTAAAACCAAAATAAAACACTGAAAACCTATACAGAAATGCTTGAACATTTGTTTTATCCATAGCTTAATTCTCCAGAAGACTTGGAAATAGGTTTGTGTTTTAAGCATGAAAAGTGAGTAGGCTTTCCCAGAAAAATGTATACAAACTGCTTACCACCGGAGAGCAGCTTTCCTCCTCCTTATAGCTTTAAAGGCTATAGTGTTATCCCTTCAAAATAGGGAGAAGGGTTTATTCTGATTTTTCTTCCATTTTTAAGCTATAATATTTGCCTTTGAGATCATCAAATGTGATTTTCAACATTCCAGTAATATAAAATAAATAACTGGGCCTGAACTCACACAGACAATTCAAAACCTAAATGTAGATATCACCAGTCACTCTTCTTAGCTTTTAAAACACAACTGTAAGATTTGCCAAGTTATCAGAGCAGAGGGTGATATGCCACAAAACATACCAAACACAAGTACCACCCACTTCCTTCCTCCTCTACCTTCAAACAAGAAGCAAGCACTTATTAATGCTTAATAATAAAATGCTCTCACATGTGTTTTTCACATTTTGTTCATTTTTCACTCTGTATTTTGCTTGCATGAAAGTATTGCTAAAAATATTTTAATTTTGAATATCATATGAAACATAACAAAAGAATCAATAACAAAGGCTTCTATTTTAGCTATTCTAGAAGGCCTACTTGCATAAACAACTCTGACATTTTGAAAAATCAATTTTAAAACACACTCAAAATGCATTAAGATACTTGCTCATCCAGTTGTCTCTACACCCCAAGTGGCCACCTTTCCTCATTTAGGAATACAATTTGGGACAGCAATATGAGTGCATTTAAGTGAGAGGAAGACTATATTAACCTTTGACTTACCTCACAGAACATATAGAGAGACAGCAGCGTGAGTCCAAGGTTATACACCACTAAAATCCCCCGGCAAGAGAATGGCTGTTTATTCCTCATGTATTTTGGTCCCAGCCATACAATTAGTAAATATATGACAGAGCAGATAAATGTAGGTATATAATTGTCCAGTAGAAACCATCCTTTTACTCTGGTATCTGAAAAAAAAATTATATATAAACATAACCACAACTTTTCAAACATTAAAAATAATTTTCTAACCTCGATGATATAAAAGTCATCTGGTGTTAATGTTCCTAATTCCAATAAAGCAATCAGGAGAGGAGGCATGAATTTTCAATACATATCAAACAAGGTGAAGTTCCTTATTACAGCTCTGAATAACAACATATTATTCATGATTTTTGCTCAGTAAAATCATAATAAACATATTATTTCCAAATAATTTAAGAAGAAAACAAAGAAGGCTACATTTCCCATTAACTGGATTTATTAATCAGGTTTACTGGATTACACATAGGGTGATGAAACCCAAGAAATGGCCGTCACTGAACTCGGAAGTCCTCGATCATCTCAGTCGAGTGTCAGCAAGTGTGGCTAGCATGTGCAGACTCAGAAAATGTGCCGCTTAGCCAGGTTAGTGACACTGGTACTGATCAGAAAGGCAGCATCTGCTATGAGTATAATGGTCAACAGCAGAGGGGACAATGATTTATAAACAAAACAAAGGTCGGATGCAGCGGTTCACACCTGTAATGCCAGCACTTTGGGAGGCCAAGGCAGGCAGATCACCTGAGGTCAGGAGTTCAAGACCAGCCTGGCCAACATGGTGAAACCCTGTCTCTACTAAAAATACAAAAATTAGCTGGGCATGGTAGCACGCACCTGTAATCCCAGATACTCGGGAGGCCTAGGTGGGAGAATTGCTTGAACTTGGGAAGTGGAGGTTGCAGTGAGCTGAGATCGTGCCACTGCACTCCAGCCTGGGCAACAGAGCAAGACTCCATCTCAAAAATAAAACAAAAACAAAAACAAAAACAAAACAAAACATGAAGGTGAAGCAGCAATAATCAGATAAGTGCCTACTTAAAGTGCAGTATTTAAGGAACTGAGGAGTAGTAGCTTGAGAGAGACCTAGGTGGATCCAAGAAAGCTACTGGTATAGGAAGGGCCTCCCCTGCCCCATTCCTTTTTGTAGGCAGGGAGGAGGAGGGAGAGGAAAACAGTGTCAAGTAGCTGCCAGCAGCAAACTGACAGCTCTCCTTGGATGGCGGGAAACTCCTTGGCAGCCAGACACCCTAAGTGTTATCTGTCCCCTGAAAAATTCAACTTCATCCTCTGGATGACCCCAGAGAGCTGCCTCTGAAGCATGCTTCCCTTTACAGCCTGCTACGATCATCCCCCAAAATCTGTGGCTCCTCCATCTCAACTACCTGCCAAGGCTCACAACTCCAGAGCTTGAGGCACATGCAGCATTCACCTCCTGCGTTTACGGAGAAGCGGCAGTTGGGAGGACTTTGACCCCTCCCAGGCTGGATCATCTTGTAACTCTCTCCACTAGTTTTCTCCTTGGTTTCACAGAACAAGGCTCAATAAAGCATATGTCCACGTGAGGAACTGACTGTCAGTCTTCCTTTCTTGCACTGTACACACTAAACTTGCCCAGCATTTCTCTCATGGTTTGCTTTCTTTGGCTTCAGAGGAACTTGCCCTCTACACCCTCCCCATTAGTTATGCTAGGGTCACGTGTTACTGTCAGTTCTGCAGAACTGGTTGTTCTTAGAAGTTGTCAGGGAAGTGGCTGGCCCAAGGGACTGACTTTAAGGGGATGCTTAACACCTTTTGTTCTCAGCTTTGGGCCTTGGCTGTCATTTTAAGAAAACCAGTTCCCACTGAGCAACTAACATTAGACTGTTACATGTTTTGTGTGAACACATATATCAAAAACAATAAACACACACAAATCTCTTTTTTTTTTTTTAAACTTAAAGCTCTGATTTACACTTTGCTTTATTCATTTTGCCACAGATCTTCATCTTTACAAATTGGCAGGTATTCATCCTTCCATACTGCAGAGTGCTTCCAGGGCAGCTGACCCGAATTCCAGCCCCAGGTGGAGAATCCTTAGGATATATAGTCAATCTGTGGCGGTACTAAACCCCTCTCTGGCGACTGGTTCAGGCAGGAGCATGTGAAGCAACTGTGGCCAGTGAGTTTTGAGGGATGACAGCTGGCAAAGGGCTCTGGGAAATGGCTTCCTTATGTTTAAAATCATAGAAATGAAACATTTTTTGCTTCCTCTGGATGTGCTGCTAGGAGCTACTACAGCCATCCTACAACTATATGAGGTGGGGGACACATTCTGAGGACAGAGCTGCTGATACTTGGGAGTCGCAAAGTAGCAAATGACAAGAACAAGGATCCTCGGTTGTATCACATAGTCCCTGAAATAACTAAGGAATTGCCCTGCCTGCTAATGAAAGCTAGTAATTTTCATTATTGTTTTAGCTATTTAGAGTTGAATTTTTTTGTCCCTTATAGCTAAAGTAAGGCACTATCCCAACCTAAGCACATACAGATGTATCTGACTTATTCTTTTTTGTTCTTTTCAACTGGCCATACATTAGTTTACTTAACTTGTCCCCTACTGACAGACATCCAGATGATTCCTTGACAAATAATGCTGTAATGAGCATCCTGATCTGTATCGTTGCTTAACTGATCAAGGATAAAGTTTAGGAGTAGAATGGCTAGGTAAAAGGGCACGTGCATTTTACTTCCATCAGAAGGCAAACAGCCTTTCAGAGAGGTTGCATCAATTTTGACTTTCCCCACACCTTCACTATTATGGCAGGTGACATATTATTTCATCTCTGCCATGCTAATAGACTAAGTCCTTTTATTTCTTTTGTATTTTAAAAATCATGAGAAACTGAGACTCCTTTTGTCTGTTTAAAAGCCATTTCCAGTTTTTCTGTGAATCTTTTGGTTAGCCTAAGAAGTTCTTTCTTTATAGAAAAGACTTTAAAAAACATTTATAGATGAGATCAAAAGAAGGCAATATGGAGCTGATTTACTTTCTAAAACATATAGCAAGTAAGGTCCAGGTGCATATTTACCAGTGAGTTGCCCTGATATAAAATAAGAGGACCTTAAAAAGCCCTTAAAATTGTAAAAGGGAAAGAGTTTTAAACTCCTATTGCAACACTGTATTTTGGAAACTAGTTTCTTTTAGAGACTGCCAAGAATTGAGAAAAACATGCCACTGATAATGGTGAAATCTACCGTAGTCTCATGTAAGCTTTACAGCATATTTTTGACCTCCAGTTCAAGTCAACGAGGACCACCCACAGCAGGTGTCTCTGTCAGAGACTTCTCCAAACCCCTTGTTATCCAGGATAAAGTTTTGGACTTATTATAGAAATACTAACATTTTCTAGAATCTCCTTATGCAATATTTACAAGTGACTATAGGCAAAGAGTAATGCCGCAGAAGGTAAGCGAAACCAAAAACCACCTTACCTCGGGGGCCTAGCAATGCCTTGAAATAGGTACTAAGTGATGCATCAAAATGTTCCATTTTAAAACCTATTAAGAAAAAAAAATACTGATTAATCTCTACTCAAAATGTTTTTTATACAGTATTTTTTTCATAAAAGAATAAATTCTTTTCAAAGAATATGTTACAAACAAGATTAAGTTCCTTAGGTTAAAAGAATTTTTTAAAATTCACTAAAGTAACTTCTGTGCTAGCTCCAACTTGAACATCAAAAGGAAAGACACAATTCTGTGAAGTCACTTTATAAATGAAGTGCCAGTTTTCTGAACTTCTTTTCTCAGTTCCATAAAAACTCTTTCTGTGAAACTGAAATCTCAGGGGGGAGAAAAGTGGAACTAACTGGAATGAGAGGTGGCAGACAGGAAAAGATCCTGTCTGGGCAGCAACTGAGGACTTGGGGTAAGACAAGAAAGAGCCATATGAGGGAATGGAATAGCACAGTGAAAAGACAGTTTTCTTCGCTTCTTACTTTTATCAATTATTATTTTACAGAACTTCCTGTCTACAATTAAAAACAATTCAAATATTAAAAATGAAAAAAAAGGGGCAAAAATCTCATTAGTTCCCTCAACTGCAATCCCTAAGCCACGCGTCACAAGGAACCTAATGGTAACATTTCTGCAGTATACTTCCAGAGATTTCTCCTCTTTTGAGCACCAAGAGGTCATGCTAAATGGGTGTTTTCTCAGTTGTGGGCTGCAACCCATTAGCAGATGATCATGCCAACTTAGCATTAAAAATAATAACCGATCAAAATAGAGAATCAGAACGCTTTGCTCCTAGTGAGAATGAATATAGTTTCATAAAACTTTAGTTTTATTATAATGATGTTACTCTGCTGTGATGTAAAATATTTCTTACTGTGGGGATCACAGTAAAAAAAAATGAAGAAAAATACTATTATATATAGAAGTATATATATATTACTTGCTTATTTTCACTTAATAAAATATCTTAGAGATATCAGTTAAACATTTACCTCCATCTTCTAAGATTCTATAGCTCCCTACCTTCTCCCCATTTAAGGTTTACATTTAGAGGGTAGCTAAGCAACTTTTCATATGCATATTGACTAGATTTTCTATATTAAAGTTAGGAGACATACATTTCCAACTTTCCTGGCTATTCTTACAGGAACAATCATCAATATTATAACTTCCCAGGGCAAAGGCAAAACTGATTTTATTAACTAAGCTGTTAATCATTTGGCAATACTTCTCTTCCTTGGCTTGCCACACTGAAGCATATGTATTTTCTGGCTAATTTTAAGATAAACTACTTTATCCACAAAATTATCTAATGGTTGTAGTAGTTACAATTAAGTCAATACAGATGAGATGGGAGGTAGGGATAGGAGGAGCCATAAACGACACTTTCAAAGTAGGTAACAGGGTTCTGTCCTGACAGCTTTCCTGCCCAAGGGAGATTGGAGAGGATGCTGACACCAATTCATGCCTGGAAACGAAGACACTAGCCCCCCTCCCCTACATATCTGCCAACAACCAGGTCAGCCACCTTTGTTCCTCAATAGTTATACAACCTATTGAGGGACACAAGGTCATTTCTGCAGTCCAACAAAACTTTAACATACAGTAGTCCCCTCTTATCCACAGTTTTGCTTTCTGAGGTTTCAATTACCTGCAATCAACCACTGTCTGAAAGTACTAGGTGGGAAATTCCAGAAATAAACAATTCATAAGTTGTAGGTTGTACACCATTCTGAGTAGCACGATGAAATCTCCTGCGGTCCCACTCCATCCTGCCTGAGATATGAATCATCCCTTTGTCACTGTATCCTCACTGTAGACACTTCTTCACCCTTGAGTCACTTAGTAGCCTTCTGGGTTATAGGTAGACTGTCTCAGGATCGCAGTGCTCATATTCAAATAACTTTCATTTTATTTTACTTAATTGTTCTAAGTTATTACTAGTTATTGTTGGTAATCTCTTACTTTGCCTACTTTATAAATTAAACTTCATTATAGGTATGTATGCATAGGAAAAAAACACAGTAAATATAATATAGTGTTTGATACTATCTGCAGATTCTGGGGTCCATTCCGGGGGTCTTAGAATGCACTGCCTCACAGTGAGAGGGTACTAATGCACTGTAATCCTAAGAAAGGCCATTTTGGTCCTAGCCATTTTCCTCTCCTAGATCAAACCACTTCAGAAGAGACAAGAGATTCTAGAAAATCCTGGTGCTAAAGAGAACAGGTTTAGCTTTACATTTAGTAAAGAGTATTCCTTTTTAAAACACAGTTAAATAAAAAATGTCTTATCTATTAAGGGCTATAAGTTCTGCCCAAGGGGGGTTCAGGAAGTGCATTGGCTAAAAGAGAATTTGGCTATGTCTATTTGTTCAACGTCTATTGAAAATCATCTAGAAAATCCAAGTTTTGGAAGACAACCATCATGATTTTGTGACGTCAAAATTACATGAACGGAATTTAACTTTATCCGTGATGTATGGTGGGTCATGTTTATGGAGGTAGCAGGGTTCCCTGCTTCCCACTGGCTGCATCCCAAACAGCCAAAAGGAAATAAGGAGGAACAAGGTCATAAAGGCTATGACTAATGGACTGAATAACTGATGGACAAGCTGCTTGCTGGGGACAGACACCTTCCTCCAAGGTATTTTAAAAGCTAGATCCTGGCCGGGCGCGGTAGCTCACACCTGTAATCCCAGCACTTTGGGAGGCTGAGGCAGGCGGATCACGAGGTCAAGCGATCGAAACCATCCTGGCCAACATGGTGAAACCCCTTCTCTACTAAAAAATACAAAAATTAGCTGGGCGTGGTGGCGCATGCCTATAGTCCCAGCTACTCAGGAGGCTGAGGCAGGAGAATTGTTTGAACCTGGGAGGCGGAGGTGGCAGTGAGCTGAGATCGAGCCACTGCACTCTACCCTAGCGCCTGGCAACAAAGCAAGACTTTGTCTCAAAAAACAGAAACAAAAAAATCCTAGATCCTATTAGCAAATGGGCAATATTAAGTTACTTACTAATGGGTTACATCAAATGTACAATAATCAGGTATTAAGCATGAAAGGATTTTAAGCAGGTTCAATGCTAGGCTCTTTATACGAAACTAGGGTTTGAAACTTTCCATTTTTTTCACTTATTAGCAATGTGACCATGGACAAGTTATTTCACCTTTCCGAAAAATGGGGAAAAGACCAAACTAACTGCCTTTAAGAAGATTAAATAATTTAATATAAATAAGGCCCTTAGAGCAGTGCCTGGCATGTAGGAAGCCCTCAACAGAAGTTTCTCAATGTGTGTCTGCCACAGGACTGGCTCCATGATGAATACTCTCAACCACCCATGGCTGTCTTTGCTTCTCAGCAAGGACACTGCTGCATTCCAGTGGAAACAATCAATGTCCTGTATATTGTGGATCATTAATTGTCCTTGGTCCCTGTTCACTAAATGCCATCAGAAAGCCCCATTCTGACAACCCACAATGTCCACTTCAAAGCCCCAACACATACCTAGAGGGACAGGAATAGAAGGTGGCAGGGTGGGGGAAGTTAATAATCTATCAGGAGAGGAGAGAAACTTATCAGAAAGAGACATTATCTAAACATGAAAGATGAAACTAAAACGAATGTACTAATTAAAGACACAAATATCTAGCACCTACTGTGTATTAATACAAAGGATTGTCAAAATAGGGATAAAGGAGCATACCTGGTGACCTAGAAAAAAATGAGACATTCATAAGAGGGAAAAGAAGCCACATACAGTAAAGCAAAAACAAAATCCAGTTTATAAATGAGCAGACAGTAGAATGATGTACACGAAAACAAGCTGAATATATGTTTAAAACCATGCTGTAACAATAAAATTCAAACAACATTATTCCGAGATCAAACAGGATGAGTATGTCTAACAAAAATAAGGGAATCAATCATTCTACTTTTTAATTATGGGATCGTTCAGAGGGCTGTGGTCAGGGTCAGTTTCTATGTAAGAAGAAAATAGAGAAGCTGAGAACGATAGTGAAGAAATGTTTCAAAGTGACAATGCAGATTGGTGGGGCGGGAGTGGAGAGGGATATAGTGGCCCCAGAAAAATACGAGGCCCAGGAATTGCAATAAATGACCTATTACCATAAGGACAAATGCCTAGGACACAGTCCAATTTGAGAATCTAGACTAACATCATGGCAACAGAAAAGCAGCTTGATTAAACATAAGGTAAAATTTCAGTCCAAGAGTACTGAACCAGCAGCAGGCTACCAAAAGAGACTGTGGAATTTAGTATTTGGAGATATTGAAGAATCCTGTTACAAGCCATCTGTCCCGAATAATCTGAGTCTAAACCATCTTGAACAGAGGCCCTGCGGAAGCTGGCAGGCACAGGAGCACTCTTTCGTCTCTATAAAATGAAATGTGTTCTCTACAAAAGCACACGCGAGAAATGATTTTTGTCAAAAATGGTACATCTGTTCTTAGGCTGCATTTCTTCTCAGCTTGAGAATTTTCCTCTTAGGTTTGCAGAACTTTGCACAATCAAACTTAGGAATATACTGAAATAGCCAGCAAAACATTCTCTAAAAGAACAGATATTTGGGGGGGGAATTATAATAGTTTTCAAATCATTGCTCCTGCTTACTGTTTCTGAAATGACTACAACGAAAAGGGAGAAGGGGCAGGTAAAGGTAGCACCTGGACAATAGGCCCTAATCAGGAGAGTCCTGATCTGTGAATTCCAAGCCTGATTCTGACACATAAAATATTTCCCCCAAACTCTCCCTGACCACACCCACAACTGGACATACACTGTAATCTCAGACAAGGCTGTTTGTTTCTGCACAGGTTACTAAGAGACATCTTCACCAAAAGCTTCATTATTTACTCAATCCAATATCATGTTTGTCAAGGCAGCCACATAACCAGTGTCCCTCAAAATCATGTACTCCCTTTTCATTCATATCACACATGTACCAAATGCCTACCACAAGCCAGGTATGGAGGCCTGAAAGCCCTGGGATTGCAGGCTGGTGAGAAAGACCATAAACATAT